AGTGAGTGTATTATTTCCCAGTACAAATGTCTAAGAATGAAGAATCTCAGTGCAGATTAGCTGTGTTTTAAAAAGACTGTGCTGGTGATCAAAGAATTTGAGTTCCAAATTGTTTAATTCTTTATTTTGTGTTTAAATAGGTTAAAATAATATAATAAAATATTTCTAATAGACTTTTTCAGTTTTTTAATATTTTATTAAATAATAATCAACCAGATGATGGTGGCATATGCCTTTAATTCCAGCACTTGGGAGACAGAGGTGGATTGATCTACAGAGTGAGTTCGAGGACAACCAGGGTTACACAGAGGAATCTCATCTAAAAATAACAAAATAACAACAACAACAATAAAACAACAAAAAACCAATAATCTCTGTTCATAATTTTCAATATAAAGTAGTATAAATGCTAAGACTACAGATTTTTAATAAGATGTGCATATCAAAAATTGACCAAAGGAAACAATTCTGATCTGGGTAACAATTCTGGAACTCGATTGTTTATCAATGATGACAATTTCAGGACCTCCCTGCTGCTATGATGATAAGTGGGTTGAAGTATGAATTAATGATATTAAGTAGAGTCACAAGCAATAAACCTTCTAGAAGCAGCTGTCATCAGTCACCTAACATAATAACCATGTGTTCTTTTCCAAAGTTATTTTTCAAAGTATTTTGCATTTTATTTTCCTTTTAAATTACTTCATTTTACAAGAAGGAAGTCACTATAGAAATTGTTCTGGTATTCAGTCATGTTTTATCCAAGTTAAATCCTATGTCTTCCAACTGTAAGTCTAATCAGGGTAGTGGTTTCAGTGCCTATTTTCACAGGTATTTATTTATAGTGGCCAGTGATCTCAATCCCTTCCTTGTCCACAGAGATTAAAACAGAATGGGACACTACATCAGAGGAAAGTAAACATTGACTGATTTATTTCATTGAAAGTTTTAAAATGTAAAAAATATAGGTTCTGATTATTAGTAACATAATCACACTCACTCTGCCTCCTCCTCCAAAGAATGCAGCCATAAAAACCTGAACAACCTAAAGAATCTACTTAAGCAATTTGGAAAGTAAAGATAAGCAGGCAGATTGAGGAAAACTACAAGAATTTAAAGAACCACCAGAGGTTTCCAACCTCTCTCAGGACAGGATCTAACAAAATCAAAATCAAAACACCAAAACATCACAGCTAGCTCTATAGCAGAGGGAAAGAAAACTCTAGAAAGAGCCCTCTAACTCTGTCTGAGTCAAGGAACCTGAAAAGTAATTCTTATACTCAGAAGCAGAAAGATAAAAGCCAAAAGTTGTATCTGTCATGGTTTCCCTAGAGAAAGAGAACCAGAAGACAATCGCATGTGCATATTAGGCAGTGGATATTTTAGTACATTGGCTCACTTGATTATGGAGATTCTCAAGTTCAAAACCGCAGAGCAGATAAGCAGTAGACTCAGGAAGGAGCTGATGTCACAAGACATGTCCAAAGGCTATCAGCTTGAACACCAAGGAAAAGAAAGTGCTGTAATTCAAGTTCCATTTCTTTCATTTATATTTTATTGATGTTGTTTTGTTGTGTTGTGTTTTCATGCCCACCCAATTCCATGGTAATAGTAGCATGGATTTCAGTGGGAACAGTACTCAGGAGTTGAAGCTATCAATTTACAATACAGAGCTACACTTCCATTACAGTGAAGCTGAACAAATCACAGTCCTGTTCATATTCATCTGTCTTCCTCCTCTCCATCTTCTGTCTCCCCTATACACAGAGTGATATTATTTCTGCCCATCTCTCATCACGGAAGATCTTTCCATCATATAGTGTCTTCTTAAATTTCTTTTTTTTTTTTTTAGTGTCTTAAACATTTCTTTGTAGAGGTCATCTACCTCCTTGGTTAGGTTTATTCCTAGATATTTTATGAGAGGAGTGGGCAAACAAAGGGGAGATAAGATGTCCATCATCTCCAGCACAATAAACCAGCAAATTACTAACACTAAATAAAAATTCCTAACACTAATAAAAAATCAAAAGAATGGAAAATAGTGCAACCAACCACAGAAATAACCAACGCAATCACAGGACTTAGTAAACATCTCTGATAGTAACTCTGGTTGTAAATTGCCTTAGCTCTCCAATTAAATGATGTAGACTAGTAGTCTACAGTAAGAAATAAGATCCAACTACCTGTTGTCTCTAAGAAATGCCCTTCACTGCCGAAGACACCACAGACAAGAGTTAAAGAATGAAAGCCAACATATCAGGCAAATGGAAGCCAACTTGATGTAGCCATTCTGATAACTGATAATGCAGAATTCAAACCAAAATTGATTGGAAGAAATAAAAAGTCAACTAAACATAAGGATTCAATGAAAAATATATAAGAAAATATATCATATATATATATGATATATATGTGTATGTATATATATATATGTATATGTATATAGGAACTGGATGGTGAAACTCCTGACTATAAATCAAATATAGGTGGATGCAGAAGGACATATAGAGCTGGGTGTGATGACACACATCTGAAAACCCAACACTATGTAGGCAGAGGCAAGAAAAATGCTGTAAGTTGGAGCTAACCTACATAACAAGATCCATCTCAAAGCCCAAAACAAAGTGGACTCACTGCTGGATTCTATGAGATCAACAAAGAAGAGTTAACACCATCACTTCCTCAAATTGTTCCACAAAATAAAAGAATTGCATTGACTCTGTAAATCGCTTTGGGGAGTATAGCCGTTTTTACAATATTATTTCTGCCAGTCTCTCGGTGTGGAAGATCTTTTCATCATCTAGTGTTTTTTTTTTTTTTTCAATTTCTTTTTATAGTGGCTTAAAACTTTCTTTGATAGAGATCATCTACCTCCTTGGTTAGGTTTTTTTCCTAGTTATATTATTCCTAAGCTATTATAAATAAGTTATCTTTCCCAATATTTTCTCACCAAGTTTGTTATTGGTGTATATACAACTATTGACTCTATGTATTGATTATCAGGCAACTTTATTGAAAGTGTTTATCATATTTAATTTTTCTGGTTGGCTCTGTGGGGTATTTCAAGTGTCATTTACATGTCATTTACAAATAAGCAAAGTTAACTTCTTACTTTCTAATTTTTATCTATGTTGTATCTCTCTTTTATTTTAGTGGTCAAACAGCAAATTTGCTGTATTTAATAAAAGTTATTTTGAGGTATGTTCCATCAATTCCTATTTTCTTCAAGGCAACTTATTATGAAGCTGTTGCACACCGGCAGATGCTTTTTTTACATCTCTTATGATTATATGATTTTTTGCCATTACTTTTATTCATATTGTATATTACATGTTTGATTTACACATTGTGATTATTAGTTTTAAAGGCCAAATTGCCACAACTTGTCTCCCACAGATAAAAACAACTTTGAACACAAGGTATGATTTTAATGTGATTTAATTTAATCTTGAGTTCAGATCGCAAGTATTTTATAGCCTTTTTGAGTCTATGTGCACCAGAAAACTAGTCTGTAGTTCTTACTTGCTTGGTAATAAAATATAAAAACAGTATTTTAATACCTTTCCTTACCAGTTGTTATATTACTAAAAAATTTTACTCCCTCTCAAAATTCCTACTTCATTTTCTACATATTTTAATTTTATCATGGTTTTCTACATTTCTAGAAAAATTTTCCTAAGCTTAAGAAAGTCTATATAATAGCTATGTGAACCTAAAAAAATCCCATTGGGATATTCCATATTTTGATAGAGTTAGGAATATGATCTGAAATACTTGACTGTCTTTCCAACATGATGGTGTTCAATTTGGCCCATGTAGCAGATGACAAAACTAAAATTAATTACCCAATTATCTGGAAGTGAAATAACATATCATCACAGTTACATTTCTCTGTCAAAATCAAAGAAAAAGCTGAATATAATCTAGTGGTATTCATATTTAGATAAGCATATGAATCCATAGATACTGTGGCAGCGTACAGAAGACCTGCACAGATTCAAACCAGACAAAATCCCAGTATAGAGAAGAGGATGTAGACACAACGTCCCACCCATACCAAGGAGCTACCTGCAAAGGGAAAATCAGTTTTCCCCAATGGAGTGACGTTGGGTGTATCAACTACACTCTAGGTCAGGCCCCATGACCAGGAGTTGTTGGCCAACAAAAAGCCAATTACATGTTTCTCTTTCTCTCTCTGTCTCTCTGTCTCTCTCTCTCTCTCTCTCTCTCTCTCTCTCTCTCTCTCTCTCTCTCTGTCTGTTTCTTTTCTTTTTTGGCCTTTTAATCTCACTGTTTGTTTATTTTGATGTTTGTCTCTGCTTTTAAGAAAGAAAGAAAACATAAAATTGGGTAGGTGGGCAGTGGGAAGTATCTGGGAGGAGTTGAGGGAAGTAAAAAAACATGATCAAAATATATTACATGAAAATGTTTAATTAAAAAAGGAGAGAAAGGTAGAAACTAAATGTTGAATGTCTTTGCTATTCATTTTACCTAATGTGGTGTGGTATACAGTGCATAAATTAGTACATTCTTATTTGATGAAATAAAATAGCTACAATTTCTTCTATATTCTAAGCTATCCTTATTTTAAAAAATAAATTTTGAAAGCATTACTTACAAAGAAAAGAATAAATGTATGACAAACAATTAAGGAGTGCCATTCACATTTTTTTTTATTTTTTCATTGTGTGTGCTTGTGTGTGTGTGTGAGTGTGTGTGTGTGTGTGTGTGTGTGTGTGTGTGTGTGTGTGTGTCCACATATGTGCCCTGGTGTGTGAATGAAGGCCAGAGAATAAATTGTAGGTTACCATTTGAGACCTTTACCTGTTGAGCCACTTCATAGGCTCATTCTTTTAGACATAGGAAATATAGTACTGTTGCTAAAATTCCTAGCCACAGGGAGATGTAAATAGTATCTACCCCTTCTCCTAAGTCCGAAGGGCAAACAAAGGCACAACTGTGCCGAAGTTCACTCTGGGAATGAGTTTTTTGAGCTTACTTACAGAGCATAGGTGAAAGGTAACTTACAAGAGTGTGGATGCTCCTCCTCCAATAGGCTGCATCTGAAAAGCATTACCAAGTGGGGATTAGGACTCCTCCAGAGCCCCATAGATGGAGACTCCTCCCCTGGCCTATATACTCTAGCCCCTCCCTGAGTCCATACAACAGGTGGTAGGGAGCACCTGGAAACTCAGTTAGGATGTTGTAACTTCTCAACCCTCCATAAGAGGGTATGAACAGTAAACAATCTCAGATGGTATGATCTTTTGTAAGGAATTGCAGTTGAATGTCAAAAGATGGCAGTTACTTGGCTTGGAGGACAGTCATTTGTGGTAAGTAGTAAACCATAAAATCTGCCCAGTAAATATGGCATAAGAGGGGAATCATCTTTTGATGAAGATTCCAAAATGGAAAAGACGAATAAAAAGGATAAAACTAAAAGAAGTAACTACTTAAGAGACTAACAAAAGCTCAGATATGTACACTTAGGGTTGAGTGTGCCAACTCTTGCAATCTGTGTCCAAATATCGCAATCAGGTTTCAAGTGAAACATGACTAGCAACAGCTGAGTGGTATAAAAGTTAACTTTCTAATGTAAGACTATTGACTACAGGTAAGAGAGGTTACATATCAGAGGAGAAAACTGGTGGCTGCCATTTTCTTCCTATGGTCTTCACAGCCTCTTTGATGTCCTTATTTCTCAGTGTATAAATTACAGGATTCAGCATGGGGGTGACGACACTATACAGCACTGAGATCAATCTGTCTTTCTCTAGTGAATAAGATGAGATGGGCCGCACATATGTGAAGATGGCACTGCCGTAATAGAGAAGAACAATAAGCAGGTGGGAGGCACAGGTGGAAAATGCTTTGTGCCTCCCCTCAGAGGAGCGGATCCTCAGGATGGTTGAGATAATGTAAAGGTAGGAAAGGATGATGCACAGGAAAGGAGTCCAACCTATGAAGATCCCAATGGACAACAAAGCCAGTTCATTGATGGAAGTATCCCCACAAGACAAGATCAGCAAAGGGGGTATGTCACAGAAGAAATAATTGATCCGATTGTTACCACAGAAGGGCAGGTGGAAGGTCAGAACTGTGTGCACCACTGAGTTGAGAAACCCACCTGTCCAGCACGAGGCTGCTAACCAGCTGCACAGGGCCTTGTTCATGATAAATGAATACCTTAAAGGTTTGCAGATAGCAATGTATCGGTCATATGCCATTGCTGCCAGGAGTAGACATTCTGAGCCTACAAAGAAAATGAATGCAAAGAGTTGGACCACACAGCCTCCATAGGAAATGGTTTTCTTCTCTGACAAAAGGTGCACCATCATCTGGGGGACGTTAGTAGTGGTGTAGCAGATGTCAATAAAGGCGAGGTTTCCTAGGAAATAATACATGGGTGTATGTAGGTGGGAATCAGCCATGGTCACCAAGATGATAAAAATATTCCCTCCTAAAGTGCATATGTAAGTCAGAAAGAAAATGGTGAAGAGTAAAAATTGCAGTTCATTCAGGTTGGAGAACCCCAAGATGATGAATTCAGATGGAGCTGTTTGATTCTTTCCTTCCATGATGTCAGCTGCTTTCTCTTTGTAAATTTTACAAAAAGATGCATAGATAATAGCCTGCAAACCAAGAAAACAAGGGCTGTTATCAATAATGTCACCACCAACTACATTGGATACCAAACCACAAGTGGAACACTTCTTTGCAAGACACAACCCATACCTGCCACTCATGACATATATACATACTCCCAGTGTTTCACCCAGTAATCCAGTCCCTATGAAATACACAGTACTACTATTTTTAATTGAAAATAAACCACAGCAGGACTCTCTGTCATTGAAGGGTACTGTCTTGATAATGGCTAGGTCAAGCTCTTCTGCATTTTCTTGGTAATGTGTAGACACATTGCATGGTATAGTTTATAGAATGCCTGGGCTTCAGATCCTACAGTACAGCGATCTCTGCTCCTCCTTCCTATCATTGCATAAGAACATACAATATGTGTCTTTTTCTCATTAAAATTAATGTGTTTGCAGAAAGATTCAAGTCAATATACCACATAGGTATTTGTACATCCATGTTTGTTTCTGTACTTGTCACAATAACTACAAATGGAACAAACCTAAATATCTGCCAACAGATGATTGATGATTGGATTTTTTTAAGTGTGATTATATATATATATATATATATATATGCAATGAAATTTTATGGTAAATAATCAGTTAATATTATTCCATATAAATGCTTTAATCCTGAATTAGACATAAATCAATAATGCTGGTCTGACATTAGATACAGCAAATAGCTAGAGTCATTTAAGGAAAGTGGTTTTACAAAGTAAGTACCAGGCCAGAGAGATGGCTCAGCAAGTAAAGGAGATTGCAGACAAGGCTGAGGACTTGAGTTCAGGCTTCAGGACCCGTCTGGTAAAAGGAAAGGTTCAGCTGCCTCAAGTTATCCTTTGACCTACACACACATGTGCACCACAGAACACCAAACACATGATAAATAAACAAGTAACTAAATAAATAGTAAAAAGTACAGGTTATTTTTATCCTGTTGTTACCTATTTTTCTGATTCTACTGAAAACCATTGTTCAGTCTTAGAAGTGATTAAAAATATGGCAAACTTTTTTATTTCCCATTCTTATTAATTAATAACATTATTTCATTTACTTGGTACCTGATAAATTTCAATAGTGAGCATGCTAAATTAGATTATCTGAGTTTGGGATCTTGTCACTTGTACTTTTATAAATTTTTCAAAGATGGATGCCTGTTTTAGTTACATTTCTATTGCTATGATAAACACCATAACCAAAAGAAACTTGGGGAGGAAAAGAGTTTGTTTGAGCTTTGTCCATCACTGAGGGAAATCAGGGCAGGAACTCAAGGCAGGAACCTGGAGGTAGGAAATGAAACAGAAGCCATGAAAAAGTGCTGCTTACTGGCTTGCTATCCAGGGTTTGTTCAGCTTGTTTTCTTACAACCCAGAACCACCTGCCTAGAGGTGGAGCCACCCACAGTGAGCGGGACCCTACCACAACAATCACTAAGAAAAACAAAATGCTCTAGAAACTTTCTCACAATCTGGTGGGGGTATTTTGCCAAATGAGGCTCCCTCTTCCCAAATGATTCTAGCTTGTGTCAAGCTGACAATAAACTAACCAAGATGATACCAATCTTGGAAATTCAAGAGCCATTGGCTGATTCAAGATTCCTTCTGTTTGGCGAACCATTTTAAGTACCATATAGAGTTTTCTGCCACTATCTTTTTACTTGTTCATTTGGATGGCTGGTTGGTTGGTTGATTTGGTTTGGTTTTGAGATAGGGTCTCACCCTGTAGCACTGGCTGGCATTACTACTCACTACGCAAACTAGACTGGCCTTGCATTTGTACAGATCAGCCTGCCTTTGGCTCCCAAACCATTAAGGGCATGTGCCATCACACCTGGCTTCAGCTACTGGTTCACAAACCCAGTGGAATGCAACAGCATTATCTCTCTCATTTTCTATGAATCACAGAATCAGCAGAAGTAACATTGAAGGGTTCACAACACGCCCCCACGGTCGCATATACCAGGCAGACACTTCCGCCTAGCCAATTCCAGGTCAGGATAGGCATTTCCGGGTCAAAGCATCTTGTAACCAGGATACCCGGCAGACCTGGACACCTCCGCCTAGCAAGTTCCTGGTCAAGGCGTCTCGCGTGGCCAGGATTCGTGACGTTACATGGCCACGTAAGCGCGCAACATGACCATGTGGTCTACGCACACGCATGGAGTAGTGACATGACCTGGCCACGCCCCCAGCCAGTTTTAAAGTGGAGCGCCATGCTTCCCAGTTTCTCTTCTTCTCCACGCATGTGTCTCTCCCACAGGCCTGCGCACTCTATCCCTTTAACTCTAATAAACTCTATAAGCGGATCCTGTCGTGTTTCGTGACATTTCCTTGCAGGGTAAGAACACAACGCAGCTAAATAACTAACGTTTTGGTGCCGAAACCGAGCGGGCACTTCCCGGCGTCCTGCGCCTGGAAGTCCGCAAATCGGATAATCTGCTCCGTACGCGACAGACCGCTCTCCATTCGCCTGAATCACATCCAAATTGCATCCAACACCGCTTTCTTTGATTGGTGAGTTCCCCCATTTTTCGGCCAGCGTAAACGGTTTCCTGAATCTGTGAGAATGACCGTTGATCGTCCGGCGCCTCACACGTGTTCTTGAGACTGGGGGTGCCCCCGACCACGGTCTTCATTGGCTACGATCAGCCCCTATCGCAGGCCTAACTTTTCTAGCCATCTCCCACGTCTGCAGCCTGAGATATTTCTCACGTTGGGGCCACCGTCGGGGTGCGCCCCGGGGAGCCACGTGATGTCGACTGGTTCATCCTCCCAACAGGGAGGCAAACGCCGTCCGGATTCTCAGAAATTCCATTCCCTCACCGTGGAGGGGGCCACTGCCTCTCGCTGACGAGTGGAGAAGCAGGTCGTGCTCGGTATCTGCCCTTGACCCTGGGGACGCCTGAGGTCTTGGCTCTGGATCACGTTTATTTTTTATTTTTTTTATTATTTTTCTGCCTCCGCTGCAGACATGGGAAACAAGGCTTCCAACCCTGTTAGTCCTTCCTCTCCGTTAGGCTGTCTTGTTGAAGCTTTAAAACCTCTCAGTTTAATGCCTTACATAAAGATTTCTAAGCTAACTCGTTTATGTTCAAAAAAGTGGCCAAAGTATGCTTTAAAAAATAACAAAGGGCCGCCGAGCAGCTCCTTAGATCCCGATATTTCATGGGAGCTCTCTAATCACTGTCGGCGTTCAGGCAAATGGAAAGAGTTGCTTTCTTCTTTCTCAATGCTAAACTATCTCTTCTCGTTTCCTTCTCTCCTGCTCATATGCTCCTAGCTATACGTAAACAAGAGGATTCTCTGACTCCGGAATCTCTGACTCTAGATCTTGCTAAGGAACCAATAATTAAAATTCATGCTCCATCCTCTCTCTAACAGAACTCTCTCAGGTAGAAAGTAAGCTGGGTTCTTATACATCTAATTCTGTTTCCTTTATTAAACAGTTTCAATATATAACTCAATCTTATAGTTTCACCTTTCATGACTTCCTGAGGAGCTCAGGTGTGTATGGGAGCAAGCTAGGACTCTGCAGACGAAATTCATCAAACTAACCTTTCACACCCCCCAGGAGCTGAGGCGGTTCCTGACCAAGAGCCACACTGGGACTACAACACCCAGAGTGGCTGTCTAGCCAGAGATAGGTTTATTACCTGTCTCCTGACAGGTCTCCGTAAGGCTGCCCTAAAACCAGTAAATAATTCAGGATAAGGACGAAAATCCGTCTCTTGTTCCCCAAACCTCCCCGACTAAAACTTAAGCAAGGCTCCTGACCCCACAGGCAAAAGAGTCATCTGTGGCATTTAAGGTGTGCCAGGGAAAAGAAAAAAAGCCCGAAAACAGAATTGCCAAGTGCTGGCACTCGCTGACTTCCAAAAGCTGTTGGGTCCCTGTTTTAAGTGAGGAAACGGCCACAGGCTAGCAAATGCCCTGCCAGGCCATCAACAGCCTTGTTAAAAGTGCCGCCTAGAAAGATAGAGTCAGCTGACTGCCCCCAGGCACCAAGATGCATGGGTACATCAAGCTAAGACCTCCAACAGACCTAGGCTTGGCTACAGACATGGCAGGGAACCCAGAACGCAGCAGGGAAGCGATCTGTTTCTTTCCTTCTGGACACCAGAGCCATTGACTCAGTCCTGGGAGTTTTGGGATGCCACCTCCTTTTTTGTCGGGGTTGGGGAACAGCCTTATCTACCTCAGCAGACACTGCCATTTAATTGTATTTTCAGAGGCATCCCTCTCACACATACATTCTTAGTGGTGCCAAGTTGCCCTGTACCTTTAATGGGGAGGGATCTCCTAGCTAAGGTAGGAGCATCCATTTCTCTTGCTCCACACATTCGCCTTCTCCCAGACACGCCAGGAGCTCTCCTACTTCTCCTCCAAATGTCACATGCCTCTATCTGGACAGGCCAAATCTACCTCAGACAAATGCCAACTCCAAAATAAAATAATAATGATTCTTTCTCTCTAAGCTCTTTCTATGTCAACAGTATCTTGTTAAACGGAAGGTCCCCAGCAGCAGCACGAGGAGACGGCAGAACGTCATTCCAGGACCTCCACCATCATCCCCGGACTTCACAAGATACCCCTCATCCCCCCAAGAGCCAACCAATGCCCACTATTCAGCTGGAAGCAGTCTTTGAGAGAAACGTCGCCCCCGTACCCAGTCAACCACAATTTTTTCTTTTTTAAAAAATAAAAGAGTCGGGAATGAAGGGTTCACAACACGCCCCCACGGTCGCATATACCAGGCGGACACTTCCGCCTAGCCAATTCCAGGTCAGGATAGGCATTTCCGGGTCAGGGCGTCTCTCGTAACCAGGATACCCAGCGGACCCGGACACCTCCACCTAGCAAGTTCCGGGTCAAGGCGTCTCACGTGACCAGGATTCGTGACGTTACATGGCCACGTAAGCGCACAACATGACCACGTGATCTACGCACACGCGTGGAGTAGTGACATGACCTGGCCACGACCCCAGCCGGTT